GGGGGGAGGGGCGGCGGCCGGAAGAGCCGTAGGCGGGGACTCGGCCCGGCCGGCTGTTGCCGCTCGGTGCGAGGGTGGCTACTTGCGCCCGGGGGCCGCGCTCCCCCTCCCTCCGCCTACGTGCCGGCTGCGGCGGTTGTTTCTGGCACTGGCGAGCCCCGCCGTCCCTGCCCCTCCCCTCCCCCGGGCTGGGTTGGGTTGGACTCGGCTCGGTCCGGCCGCACGAACACACTCGAGGCCGCCTCGTGTATCAGCTCCCCGGGCCGCTGCTGCGGAAGCTGCTGGGAACTTCCTGCTCCTGCCTCCGCGTGGGCCTGACCGCGCTGCGCCTGAGGCTGGGGGCGGTGGGCGGTGGGCAGCTGCTATGAGCCAGCTGCTAGGTACTCGGACAGCCTCCTCTTTCCAGGGCAGGTCACTCCCCTTTGGCTTTCTTCATTGGTGGCTTGGCTGAATTTTTTAAAGCCACTATTTATAGTGGCAGCAGAAGTCAGGCCGCGTACAGGCTTCCTGAAAGCTAGGGGAAATCAATTTTCAGTCGCTCCGTTCGAGGCCCTTTCCACACGTGTTTCATATGTTCACGACTGGTTTTTGTCTCTGTCAGTCTGTGCAGCACATCTGAGCACCTGTGGCGGAGAAGAGTTTAACTTCTGAATTTCCTCACCTGGGGTGTGAACTCTCAAATATAAGATGCTGTTTTATTTTTCTTTCTAGTAGTGAGGTTTTTTTTTTTGGTAGCAAAATCATTTGTTATTGAGCTTGTAAATAAATAAATGCACAGTGTTAAGGTGGTCACGTCCTGCAAACACTCAGATGAGAGACAGAAGAAAACACACCAAGCATATATGTGCATACGCAGGGACTGAATGATATTTTGCTTATTAAAAAGGACATTGTGTGTAAAAAATGAAGAGCTCCACATTCTATATTTGATATGTAGGTATATACTAATGTAAACATGCATTTTTTTTATTTTTGTTTGTTTGTACCTCTATGTATATAGGTGCGTGCACACACACACACTTTAAAAGTCTGAGCTCTATTTCTATAGAAAAGCACATCTGTTCCTTCTTTTCCCATTAGCCTGCTTCTCATTAATGTAGTGAAGATCTCCAGTGTATAATTGATGCCTTATTGTATTAAACCTATCAACACATTTTTAAGAACCAAATTACAGAGTTGATACCAACATACATGCTAATACATCACAGCATAATTCAACCTGCATCACATCTTTTATGTCATTTTATACGAGATATATTTGGATGACATATTTTAGTATTGTTTGTTACTGGTGTGTATGTGTATAAATAAAAATAATGATCTCTCTAATGATAAAATACAGAGTTCTTCATTAGCACACGGTGTCTTTTTAAATAAGCAGACAGCCAGTCAGTCTAACTGCCTATTTGTTTAACTGATTATTATTTTTAAGGATGTGACCTTAATAACACTCCCTGCATTTCAATAGCATCGTTCATATAAAACATTTTAAATCATTTTACAAAGGCCCAATCTTGCTCTGTCCCCTGCAGGTCTCCACCTGCACAGATTGTATTGCGGAGTTGGGGCAGCATTTTCAAAACAGAACTGTGAGCATTACATATAGCATTGTGTAATTTGAACTCCAACTGTATCTGGAAATATTTTAAGGTATGAAAAAATGTTATCTCTCTTTTCTTCCCGAAACAAAATAAAAACCAGAAGAATTTGTGACTCAAAGCAGCTAAAATGAAAATGTATTATTAGTCTTAAAAGTTGCTTTAATGTAGCTGTTATGTCACACTTTGAAAAGTGGACTAAACTATTTTGTACTTGCTCTGCTTTAAAGGGTTCTATGTGTGGTGTCTGTGTGGAGTAACACATCTAATGCATATAAATTGTCTGGATTTAAGGTGGATTTTTAGAAATAGGCACTGCTGTTTTCAAGTGATGTTATGGTGGCAGCAGCTTCAACCTCCAGCCCTTTGCCCTTTGTTTTCTTTACACCCTGCATGTACATAATATTGAATAGACTTATACTGATTCAATTCAAGTAATATGCAAGGAAAATATGATGGTAAAGTCTTGGAGTGGAAAGGTCTTGATATTTTGTGTGGACTATGAGAATTGAAGTCACTTCCAAGAACAATATTATGCAGCTGTTCAGTTATGTTGTGCAAAGGAACAGACATTTGCTTCTTCATGGAGGAATAAAAGGTTAAAGCCTTGTATATTCAGGTAGACAAATGTTCAGTCTCCTCTTTTCCTTATACTGGTAGGAGATAATTATAACAGTACAGTTGATTTTTTCTCATTTGGATAATTACTCTCCATGAGGTCCCAGTTACATTTTTTATGGGTGAAGATGTTATCATCTTCTCTAGCTTCCCATTGTAAAACCTTGTTTCAGTAGCTTATACATTTTGGAATGAAGTTTTCCATGTTAATACCTGCCTTGGGCTGACTTTTTTTTGAAAGTTCCAGGAAAAACACATGATTTTGTCATTCCCAAGAATGACAGGTAGTTGAATACATTTTTTACGCTTTGTATGCTTGTGGCTGCCCCGGTACAAGGCACTGGAACTGAGAGAAAAGAGACTGTCTTCTTTGTGATATCAGCCTTCTTGGTGGCACCCAGACCACTTGGAGGAGGAAACATTTTGGCCTCTAAGGAAAACAGAGAAAAGCTGAATCAATGCAGAGGGATAGATTTGGGGATGGGAGCCTGGATGAAAGAGGGCAGTTTGGGGCTCTAAGTTAATGGGGGCAAAGACTGAACTGAGACAGCCGGGAGGGAAGGGGGAAACTGATGCACAGGTAGTGGCAGAAGGGGTCAGGCTGGATGAGACTATATAGAAGGGTCTGTGACCACTAGACCGAACTGTCTTCCAGAACGAAGAATGGAATCCAATATTCGTGTGTGTGTTCCTTCCACCAGTCTTGTGGCTAGCCCACGTAGAGGATGATGAGCTGCTATTGCTAGTAGTTAATGATACCACAAGTGATGCTCTCTTCTGAGGTTCTAAAAGTTCCAAATCTGGTGATGGCCCAGGTGGGTGTCAAAATGATTCTGCATGATGGACCTTCTTTTGAATTTTCTAGTTTTCTGTTTAAAAACACAAAAATCCAAGAAAACCTTCAAAATTGCATGGTAAACCCCTACATTAAAACAACATTACTGTAGTAAGGTCAAACCCTAAAACAGAAATTGAAAATTCCAGAGAGGGGGCTGCCTCTGCAACCCCGATAGCACAATTATGTGACTGTATTCTAGTTTTCCAGAGGACCCTCTTCATTCAGTGCACAAGACAGACAATGTTTACCAAACAGATATTCAGTATTGTTCAGTGTGTGGCCTCATGTTGCCTTCACTGTATAGTATTGACACCCAGATCTGAAGATAGGAAATCCTGTAAAGAAATAAGTGATTATGTGTGGAGCTCTTCACTATAATACACAAATGCTTCGGAGACACTAATGGATTTATTTTTGAAAGACTCGAGTTAGATGAAGGGGTGGATGGGAAAGTGAAGCAGAGAGATGAAAAGCAAAAATACCTGTTAATTTTGGATGTTCCATTTGTGACCTTTAGAACCTGATACTATGTAAATTGCACTTTATGTGTTCAAATGCGTCTCCCATTGACTTCATTTTCAGTTGAAAGCTCAGCACTTCTATAAATCAGAATCCAGAGTCTTAAATCAGATACCTAGAAAATAAGGAACACTCAAGTAGTGACCATCTGTGTAAAGTCTGGTTTAGATTTATTTGTGTAGAAACGGGTTTAAATTCTAGTCTCTTGGACAACAGTGAGCTACCTTAACCACAAAACTATTTTCTCTTTTGACACACTCTTGCCTCGTTCAACACCAACATTTCAACTTCAGCATGTAAAGCAGAGGTCTTGCAGATAACAGCCACATTCATTACATAGTCCTATTTCTTCTCTGAAGCTAGCTGTATATCCTATTGAAAGGCAGGAGTTCTGAGGGGAAAATAGTATGTAAACATTTAATTAAAGGTTATCATAATGCATACACACAAGGGGTCCAAATTAAGTTTGTACAAACCTTTGATTTCTAATTTTGTCTTTGAATTTGCAAGCTTAATGTTCTTTTGATTGGTAAAGCTGGTGAAGTGAGAGATCATGAAGAGTACTTTTCTCTTGTGACTCAGTTCCTTTCCTTTAGTGAGGAATTATATTGTATTCCATTTACTGTTATTAATTAGGTTGATTTGTTGTTTTCAGGATGGTGAGCACAGGAAGAGAACTGCCAGAAAATCTTTGAAAAACTTGCTGTTAAATTAAGAGAATTTACTACTGTGTCCATCATGGAGAAACCACAGTTTGTTTTGGGTAACCGGGAAAGTGGGACTGTGTCTGGTGCAGCACCCACTTTTTTTGTTATCTTGAAACAGCAGCAAGGAAATGGGAAAGCTGATCAAGGAATTCTGGTAGCGAATCGCGATGCTTGTGCTCTTGCCAGCAGTGTGACAAATCCAGTCAAATCCAAAGTCAAGACCTGCCTTCCAGCTGATTGTGTCTCAGGGGGCATCACTGTCACCCTGGATAACAACAGTATGTGGAATGAGTTCTACCATCGCAACACTGAGATGATTCTGACCAAGCAGGGGAGGCGTATGTTCCCATACTGCCGGTACTGGATTACAGGCCTAGATTCCAACCAGAAATACATTTTAGTCATGGACATCTCTCCTGTGGACAATCATCGCTATAAATGGAATGGTCGTTGGTGGGAGCCCAGTGGGAAGGCTGAGCCCCATGTTCTGGGGCGAGTGTTTATTCATCCAGAGTCACCTTCTACTGGTCAGTACTGGATGCACCAGCCAGTGTCTTTCTACAAACTCAAGCTTACCAACAATACTCTGGACCAGGAAGGACATATTATTTTGCACTCCATGCACCGCTATCTGCCACGACTTCATTTGGTACCTGCAGACAAAGCCACAGAAGTTATCCAGCTAAATGGCCCTGATGTCCACACCTTTACCTTCCCACAGACCGAATTCTTTGCTGTGACAGCCTATCAGAACATTCAGATTACACAACTGAAAATAGACTACAACCCTTTTGCTAAAGGATTCAGAGACGATGGACTGAACAGTAGACCTCAACGTGATATAAAGCAAAATAACTCGGAACAGGAGGGAGGTAGTGTTTCTAGCTCTCCCAGCAATCGTGGTCGTTCCATGGAAGCTGATGGATTAGATTCACAGCAGAGGGATCTAGAGTCTTCATTCAGTGGTCAGAATCCATCAGATGTAGACTTGGAGAAAGAATCCTTTAATGCAGAACGGGACTTCCTAGGCTTCCTGGATGCTGACATGCCTTCTGGTGGTGTGCCAAAGTTAAAGCAAGAAGTATCTGAAAGGTAGGTATACATTTAATTTTTGGTCATTGGCTGGGCACTCAGTAAAATGTGATGTGAATTGGTGGTGGGAGGACTTATATTGAAAACTTAGCTGGCCTGATAATCCAGGATAATTTTAGGTTATAAGCTTCTCTCAGCAAAGTTTTAGGGGATGAAAATTCATGTCTTGATACTTTTGTTTCCCTAATGCTTCAAATAAATCAGATTTTTAGAGTTCTGAACCTGTCGCCCTATACCTGTCAATTTTCCTTTAAAGGCTGCTTGAGGCTTCTGTGTGCTGCACGTGTATTCCTTCCACATCCCTCAACGGTACATGTTAGTGTGGTTTCACCCAACCAACCATTTCCCTGCACCTTCTACTGTCTTCCATTAGTTATGTGGCCTGTAACAGTGGACCTGTGTTCCTACCAGCTCCTATTACATGTGTGCATCAATACAGTCTGTCTAACCCCCCTGTTTTTCCATGCCTCCATTGGTTTCTTTAAGCAATGTTCTAGAGTGGTCTGTACATACTACCAATCTGCTTGTGGCAACAGATCACTGAAAGGAGCTGAAATCTGCAAGGAAAAGTAACTTCTCTTCCTTATTTACAAGCTCCCTGCTGTGTTTGCTAGTGCCTAGGGTGCTACCATACTTAGGGTGACCATATGTCCTGAATTCTGCCTGTGCCTGGCTGCCAGCCCAGTACACCATGGTGCTTCGCCTCCTCACTGGACTCCAGCCCGTGACTTTTGACCAACTGGCCGAGACTGGCCTATGGAATTTGGGAGTGTCCAGACCCAACTGGGATGGATGGTTATCCCAAGCATACTGGACTCTGGTAGATTTCTATAAGGCAGTGCAGCAGTAAGTTCATGGAGTCAATACCATAGGACTACCAAAATGCATGTAGTCCTATTGTAAAAAGCCACTTTTGTAGAAAAGAGTTTTTCAATGTATGGTAAAGCCACTCCAGCAGGATTTTACTGACTTTTAGAGCAAGGAAAGGTTCCCAAACACTGAGTGTCCCTTCACAGTTTCTTTTGTTGCTCTTGCAGAGGCTGTTTCTTTGTTCATTAGGGCAGTGGTCTCCAAACTTTTTTGAACGTGCACCCCTGTCAGTAAAAAATCTTTGAGTACGCACCACCAATATATGTATATTTATATTTGCGCACCCCTATCAGTAAAAAATTTTTGAGCATGCATCCCCAATATGTGTATAGTTATATAAATAGAAGTTCTAATATTTTCTTTCTGCACCCCAATGGATCATCTTGCGCACCCTGCTTTGGAGACCACTGCATTAGGGTATCGCTGAGTGAGTTTTTAACTGCAAGACTGGTAGCTTTTGAGCTCTGTAGTGATATTTTATTATAATACTGGAATTACACGGAGGTCTAAGAAATTGCTCTCTTTTCATTACAGCTTTTTCCAGACTTGATACAAATTTAAAATAAGTTTGCTCTACACTTTTTATGTGTTTTTTAAAGTTAAACATCTGAGAGAAGCCCCTAGGTCAAGTGACCTGAATCTATAATCTTCCAGCTAAAGTACTGGTTTTATTTTTTTTTAAGAGTACCTCTAGGTGAAATAGGAAGATGTTAATTAGAGATGTTTCTTGTCATCATAGATTTTGTTGCTTTCAGTATTGCTTGTCAAAAATCCATGTAAAAATAAATGTATCCTTTTGGGATAAATACATTCGGACTTTGAAAAATGTTCTTAAAAAAGATCCCTCCTCCCTTTCCTAGGCTAATATCAACCTCAAAAGATTTTAATTTTAAGATGAGCAAGGTGTTGGAAATATTTTAATGTATGTCTCTACATTTTAGTCTTCTAGCCTGTGATTGGACACTCGGGCGCAAAGGATTTATGGGCAGCTTTTTTTTGCTTTGGCCATAGCAATAGTCTTGTGTAATTGCAAGGAAAATTGGCTGAACATCCAAAATACATCTCTCAAGGAGTGTTAAGTTCCCTTGCATCTGAAAGGCCTTTATCAAAATTATACCATTCATGCAGCTTTTATGCAGACTGGGTTTTCATTTAGAAAAATTGTTTGAAGATTTGTTCAAACTTAACACTTTTTTTCAGCAGTCCACCTTTTAAATTTAGGTTGAAAAACTTATTCTAAAAGTATAGACAGAATTTTGCTCTAGTAGCCTAAGCAGAGTGGACATTTAACTGTTTTGGAACCCGAAACTTTGTTTCATCATTGTGGGACCGAGGTTGACATGGATCCTTTTTCAACAACAGATAACATAAACTTATAGAAGTAGGTGACGTATGCTGACTTACGGAAGCCTTTTTTCCAAAGAAAGATTTAAAAGTCTTTCTCCTTCAGCATGAGTCACACTTCTGATTTATCATTAAAATAATATAAAAAGGGATATTGTATAGTAGTGGTTCCTAAATTGTGGGTTATGGATGACTTGTGGTCACTCATTAATTAACTGTACAAGCCCCAACAGAATCTTGGTTTGCAGTGTTTATAATCATTTGAAGTTGTGTAGTAGAAGTCTCTTTAAGTATTAAAAAAAAATTAACCTAGACAATTAGAGCAAAATATCATCTATACTTTTGGAATAAGTTTTTTTCATCCTAAATTTAAGAAGTGGACTGTAATTAGTTAAGCTAGTTTTTTCAAGTACAGCATGTACATAATATTTCAGTTAATTTTTATCTGTATAGGCAGAGGCAGTGGAATTCTCTTACTTTAATGCCAAAGAAAGCTGACACAGATATTATATTCCCTGAAGAACATAACTTTAATAAACTATTTAAGAATCCCTTGTAAATTCTCAGGTTGTATTAGTATATAAAAAGTAAGTGATGATGAAATAGGAGGTTTTAATTTATACCTAACTGAATCTCCTTTAAATTCAGAATATGATTTACCCTTGAGGTATGGTGCTGTAATTGGCATCTCCATAGATTTTTCTTTGAATTACTAACTGTATACAAGGAATGTAATCTTTTTTGTCAAATCTAATAGGATCTTGGTTTCAAAAGTATAGTAAATGAATTGAATGGGATGATTGTTACACACTTGCATCTACCTAATGATTTAAAACTTTTTCTAATGTGTTTTTGTAAGGCCTGTCTAAATGAGAGTTCTATATATAATCCAATTACTTAATTTGCAGTAATACCATTTTAAGTGCACAGATTATAAACACATTCAGTTCAATTTATTATTAAGGATTCTGGCTAAAAGCCTTGCTCCCGAAAACAACATGACAAACATACAACCGTAATTATAAATAAATTTAAGCAAAAATAACAGAAATACAAATATAATAATAAAATAAAGCCAACCATTATACAAACATTATTCCTACTCCTAGAATTAACAGAATCAAGTATAAATATAGTATAAATGGTTAAAGTATAAATATAGTGATAAATCATAAATCTATAAAAAATATTGTACGTAGGTCCACAATTGACATAGTAAAATCAAATATGATAACATTTAGCAATCATATCAACAATAAAGGATGTTTATAAGCATGTTATGTTATATCAGCACACAGTTAAATGATTTCTGTTTAGAAAAGGGTTTTATTTTTATTTGTATTGATCAGTTTCTTGCTGTTTCAAGCTAAATTTGATATAAGGTGCACTTAAACTGATTTTACTATACATAAAACAGGTTGCACTGACTCAGTAAAAGTTCTTTAGAGTTTAAGAAAGTTGTACTCATTTACATAAAATGAGTTCAACTTTCTTATGCAGACAAGGCCTTAATTTAAGGTCAGTCCTTCATTGGCATTTTAAATCAAGGTATTATTGGAACCATGTATAACTCTTATGGATTGGAGGCGGGGGGTTGAAATATCTGTACACTTTTGTGAAAAGTATAATGTCTCCTAGAAATTTAATCTTTCTTGTGGGGGATTTTAATCACAGTTTAAGAGTTCTTTAATAGCTGTTTTTTATGTTTGTACAAGACTCCTCATTTTTCCAAGGTAGTGGTTTTCAACCTTTTTAGGGCCGTGGCACCCCACCTCTGCTCCTTTATGTGTGGGAGCATCCCCCACTGAGAACCACTATTGGTGCTGTCTCATCTTAGCTTTGTGCTTCTCAACCAGGTTCTGGTATCTCCAGATGAAACTGTGCTGCGTACTTGCTGCATAGCCAGCTTGGGAAAGGCTGTGCCATGTGCATGCACTCCTATGTTAGGGCTCTCAAATCAGCCTAAAGCAGGCATTGCCTTATGCTTCTTGCTCCAGAGCCCCTTGTGTTCCTCCTGGAAGCAGAAGCAGACCAGACGGATCTACCCGTGCTTCTGTTTCCAGGTAGAGTATAGGGGGTGCTGGACTAGGAAGGGCTGCATGTCACAAAGCAGTTTTGCTGCCTGCTTTTATGTGACCACTCCTGCCATGGCATTCTTGAGGGTGCGTTGCTGCACCCTGGTTGAAAATGCTTTTTCAAGGCAGTAGGAATTTGGAAATGTTTCTCGTGCATTTCTTTATGGTCTAATATTACATCTCGTGGGGGCATCCCCAAGACTTCTGGGCTTGGGCTTGCATGTAGGATGCCTGCTAATGGATTTGGGAGTATCTGAAGTCCCAGGGTGAAAGCTTGGGACAAAGGATACTTGCCGGTTGTAGTGCCATACATGGTGTTTAGAATGATTGAGTTCTGCCTGCTCAATCAGTGTGGTTTTTGGAATGATTGGGTTCTGCTCAATTGATAAGATTTGGAACTGATTTGGTTGATGTGACCTGGAACTTTAAATATATTAATAAAAAAAATGTTTACGGGGGACACGTACATCTAGTGTATTTTAGAAAGAAGTTGCTTTTTTTTTCTGTTTAAGGGTATGTATATGCCAATTTCTGTTAATAGAATAATAATCTAGGATTTGGACATTTTTCCTAATAGCAGTTAAGCATACCAACCCAAATACCATCCAGTTGCCAAAAACATTGTAGCATACTTTTTAAGAAATACAGTGGTGGTATATTGGTATTTGCTGTATTTTACTGTAGGACGTAAAGCACTGGACAGGAGGGTAG